AAAGACAAATGAGAAAACTATCTTTTATTGAGAAAACACTGGTGACCAAGAATTCTGTCAAACAGTACCGTGTTTGTATCGAGTTAAAGAAGTCGGAGAAGCAGAAATGTTGTGGGAACAAAAGCCGATAGGCGAATGTTTCCACAACTTTTACCAGTTCTCCCAAACTTCCATGAGTGTTTATATAATTCGCTAGCAACCACGGATTGCTTTACGTACAATATCGCTTTAAGTACATCTGTAGAGAAATAGGCTTAATGTTTCATGTTTAGGTTGCGCGCGCAGATGGCGGATCGTGCGTGACTACGTCGAGATTTTTTTTTTGGTTTCTCTTTATACCCGCTTTCACTGTTACTTGCATAGCGACTATCTTTCGACATGCCATTTCTCGACATGCTACATAACCTGGCCTACGTCAAAAATGTAAGCACAAGTGGCTTTTTTACAATGGAACTCGACTTTAGTCATGACAGATGGATTTATTTGACATCAAACTAAGGCTAGCAGTATCAAGAAAACATTCTGTGAGATAAATTGACCGTTTTAAATATTCATATCTTTCGAATATTTACTATGCAAACAGTCTTACAGCCGTTTACATAGCATGTCGAAAGATGGCATGTCGAAGGATGGTCGAAAGATGTCGCCCATGCACGTAAGACTGAAAGCAGGTGTAAGATCGTTTGAATTCGTACAACAGAAACACGTGCCAGTTGAGGTTGTGCTATTAATTGTTGTGCTAGATCCGTACCATTATTGCCATAAAATTTCTCTTTTGGCGCGAAAAAAGGCGAAATCTCTAGTGATCTAAGAACTGCACGCACTCAGGTTATGGAACAAGCATTCGTGAGCTGCGCACTTTGTACTCCCATAAAGGACGCTGTCCAGACTAATAGTTAACAACTTTTACATTAGCACTCTTTTATAAACTAAAACTAAATGTTACGCCTTTAAAGATTGGAAAAAGGTCTACTCACGATGTTTTCACTGGCTTTCTTCAAATTCTATGGTCACGTCATCGCCGATGAGAACAAACGGAG